GTCTTTCTCATTGGCAGTTTCTCTAGCTCAGAGAGTGTTCCAGTGTCTTTCTACATTCCTATCTCTCCACAAAATGGGTTTGAAATAAAAACTTTGCTTGCAGAGTTGTCACAAGGAGTGGCATAAGAGGGGGAGTCACTAGGATGAACAGAGATTGTGCTTTGGTAGGTGGTGCAGAGAATTATGGAGGTATTTCTCATCTGAGGTGACAAAGGGACAGTGGAAGCGCTCAGGCTCACGATGGCTCAGGGCTCCCCATCTCGAGTGGCCTGAGGTACAGAGGAGAACAGCTGCCTTAGCACAGATGTTCCTGAGGGAATCTTATGTGAGAGTAGCCAGACTCCCACCCCTAATTTGGCTGTACTAGTCTGATAGACCAGAGTCTTCTCTCCTATAGTAACAGAAGGTCAAAGTGTTTTCTGAGATGTACTTTAGTTGAACACAAATCATAAATACCGGGATAACAGAAGGCAATTGTTAGTCTGTGATATATGGGAAGTTTGGCAAACAGCTTTTGCAGCCTTTTCTGGTCTAAAATATTGCTGATATTGCGAGTCCAACAATCAGCACTTGCGATATTGCGGTGGCAATTTGAAAATATTGTGTTTTCTTAAACCCTTCTGCAAGGGATCTTTGCAGTCAGTTTTCAGTATGCCAGTCGGTTCTTGGATGAACTATTAACCAAAGAAAAGGCTGCTAATTTTAGCTTGGTTATATGGCTAAAAAGGTACCACGATCTGTTCTGGTCACCCTCTTCGGGTTTTTGTACCTCTCTTTTATTGAGGTTTGCTCTTCTGTGTTAAAACATCATGCATATATTGAGGCTTTTATTATTATGGTTGGGAAGTACTCCAAGTCTTGGCTTGCCAAAAGGTTACACCCTGCTAATGGCAAAAGAATCTATTCACTAATGCTGGGAATAATAGATTTTACAGGCTACAGATAGTTGTTAAAAGGTGTAGGAATGCTGGGTAGCAAATTACAGGAATTTGAGCAGTAGAGGGTACCTTGTTGGAAGGGCATCCACAGAAAACAGATGTATTTTTGTGAGATGTTTGACCCTTCTTCATTTCTGCACACTGCTCTTGAATGGCTTATGCCTCAGGACTGACTAGTTTTAGTTGCCCATGAGTACAGTGTCCTGTGGGGGTTTTTTATACGGTGAGAACCTTATTTTGCTTGATGGAGTGATTAGAGGTGCATAGGTAAGGAGCAAATTGTGCCCATTACTGTGGGTGGACTTTCTCAAAAGTGAGGTATTGCAAGATTTCCTGAAGATGTCCGAGCTCTGCCCTTGATTGGTGTCTGAGATGCAATTGAGGCCTGGGCATTCTTTCCATAAAAATGGCAAAGGAGGCAAAGTGATTTCTTCATGGTTACACAGCTGACTAGCAGCCGAGCCGAGAACAGAAATCACTTCCTGGGCAGCAAAGTCAGCTACATTGAGTCGAGTGCTCTGGCCCCCGCCTTCCACAGCTCTTCCACTAGTACTGTCAGCTGAGAGGAGTCCAAACCACAAAATTCGGATTTTTGGCATGAGATCTAGAGTTTGGGAGCATTCAGGCCTATCTCTTACTGCACAGGAATACAGCAAGTTTTTTCTGTAGCAGACGAGAAAAGCGGCGTTCTTTCAAATGCATCCTGCAGATACAGATGTAATAGCAGATGAGAAGTGTTGTTTTATTTAGTTTCCCTATGTAAGTTTTCCAGGAAGGAGTCAGATGGCCAGAGTTATGCAAACCAAATGGATCTTCTTTTGTTTAGAGCAAAGGAAAATAGTCACTCATTTTTGTGGTGAAACACAAACATTCTCCAAACAAAATAATCTCTCCCTGTAGCCAGCCTGGCCAGCCATGAGTCCCCTCTTGGGACTCCGAGTCTGATAAACTTTCTAGACAGGCATAGACTTTAATGCAAGTTGGGGGTGGGAAGGGAGAGGAAGAGAAACAAAAAGCTAATGAGATCTAAGTAAAAGGACTTGCAAAATTAAGCCAGCTTTTGTTTTAGTGAACGCTAGCGTGGAGAATTCTTTGGCCTTTGCTGCCAGTGCTAACAAAGGAAAAAAACAAGACATTGGTCTTCATTCTCTTGGCATCTGTGCGCTGAGACAATGTCATCAATTTACAGGAGTTAATGATACCTTCATAAAATCAGGGTGAGAACAGAACTGCAGGGACAGACTCGCCACCACTGTGCGTCTTCCTTGCTTGTGCAAAGTGGGAAATGCTGCTGGTTTGATTTGGTAACTCTGTTGCAAAACTGAATGCCTGTATGTGATGCAAGCTCACCATAAATCCGGTGCCTGTGCTGTAGGCGATAGGAAGTGAGGGATGTGCGTTGTATCACTACGTTGCATGCTTTAAATGCCTATTGTCCATCTGCCTCTCTTTTAATGAGGAAGTAATCTTCTAGATAGTATGGGGCTAGCAAAGGAATACTCTGTGCTGAAAACATCTGCTCCTAATGTCTAGCGTAGTGGAAATGTTCGTATGTGTTCTTGTACTGAGGCTGTGGGAAAACAGCGATAATATGGTACTTTCCAGGCCAACAGCAGGAGCAGGGATCTAGAGAGATCACAGAATCTTGAAGACTGCTCTCAGTAGGTGAGCCATGATGCAGAAGCAAAGCCTGTCTGTGAAAACCGTATGGCTGGCTAAAATGTTTCACTTTCAGCTGTTTGCCTGTGTCAAAGAGTCCTTAACAAAATAGCTGCTGTGGGTAACCCAAATATTCAAGTGTGTATATGTAGGCATGGGATTTGCTGGAAGCTGGAAACGTAAGGAAAATGTCAGGGAAGGCTACAACTTTTCATTACCGTTTCATTTTTTTAATGGAGTGTAAAAAATAAACATTTCCTAACCTGCCTGAGGAAATAATCTTTTATATTGCTGCCAAAGAAATACAGTGGTATGAAATAGGGATTATAATGTGTGATAGGAATTACTAGAGCAATCTTACTGCTTTCTAAAATTTTGTATTCAGTGGAAACCTCTCTTTTAGGAACGTCTGGGAAAGAATGCTTGACTTAGTGAGTCCTGCTTCTGCATGAGGGGACAAACTCTTGCAGTCTGTATCGCTTATCTTTATGCCTCATCCACTGCAGTAAAATGTGCTGCGTGACCCTGCTTCTGAGTGAACCCTGCTGAGCTAACCACTGAGAATGAGGCCAGGATCAATAGTGCTCTACTGCTGTTGCCCTAATCATTATTAGACACCATCCATGTGAACAAATTTATCTCGGCAGCCAAGTGAAGAATGAACAAGGCTCACAGCTGATGTGGAAATTACTTTGGAGAAGGTTGCCACATTCTCTTTGGCTTGGGTCTCTTCATGGCTTTTCCTCTTTCCACTGGCACCTTAAATGGAATTTTAACTTGCACAAGTTTCCTCAAAAACAAAAGACCAGACAGTCAGAATAGCTCAGCTCTTCATTAGATGGCTAAACAATTTGGTTAAACTTTTATCCTTGCTCCTTTCCATTCCCTGTTGCTGTCAGTGATGCACTGAACACTAATCTTGCTTCCACATTGCCAGTGTTATGTGTACCCTGGGAAGTTAAGTGTGCTATGCAGTTGTGAAGAGACTTCAGATGGTTAGAGACCCCAGGTTTGCTGTCTGTATTTCTAATAGCAAAGCAAGGTGGTGATGAATTGTACTCCTGTTTCAACACGGCCCCATAGAATGAAGGTCTCTTCCACCCTGCATTATATAGAGATAAGATTGAAGATTTGCATTGAAGATGAGATTTGAAACCTACAGGTTTGAGAGGAGAAGGGGAAGGAATCTGTCAGGAGAGGAGGGGCTTTCAAACAAAATGAAAATTTTAGGAAGCTGGTAATATTTGGTAACAGCTCATTTCAGGTCTATAAGCATCTCTATAGAAGGCCCTGGAGATGGTTATAAGTACAGCTGGTAGAAAGCTTTCCAATGCAGTGACATGCTTCTGGAAAATGCTGATTCAGCAGAATCATCCCCTTCTGTGGGAACGTGTGGTTTCCAGTTCAAAAACCACCCAGCCTGTCTGCCTGGTTTTCTGCCAACCTGCCCGATCTCTAGTCTGCTGACAAATGGGCTGGGAAGTTCCTTGGGATCCCCATCTCTCCGGTGACCAGAGAGATGGTATAAAGTTCTGATTTAAGTCTACAAAAGAAGAGTATTAGCTGATGTTTGTGTTTCCCAGGCAATTGCCTATTGATAACTTTTCTCACTCCACTTTTAAAGCCATAGTATAATTTAGGTTGGAAGGTTTAATTTAGGTTCAGATGAGTCTGCCTTGAAGTGCAAAATTTTCCATGATATACAATTTTCTTAACCCAGCTATTTTCAATTATATGTAATCTGTTGCAACTCCATCTGGTCTCCTGTATAGAGCAGCTGTAATAATTTACTCTGACCATTCAAAAAGCTTTGTATCTTCAGTTTTATTGTGGCTTGGATGTCTGGCGTGATAGATTTCAACAGCACGAAGCAGCTGTAGGAATGGTGAGGGTGCTGCATGCAAGATGTGGGTCACGGGTGGCACAGGGCTTCTGATTGCCTTGAGGCATTCGGCTCTGCAGGGGCAGGTAGTCCTCAGCCCTTTTGTAGGAGTGGTGGCACAAAGGGCTTTGTGGAATGGTGTTTCACTGTGAGAATGATGGAGAGCTGTGACAGCCTGTAAAGAAGACTGTTTTCACGAGGGCTCTGCAAAGAAATGAGGAAGGAGGGTCAGCTGCTGTATTTCCCCATCTTTCTGGGGGGCAGGTAAATGTGAGGTGTTGAATTTTTTTTTTCCTGAGGTGCAGGGTATCTACTGTTACCTTGTATTTACTCTGTAACTCCATGGGCTGAAAGCATGCTTACAGTTACCTCTGAACAACTGCCATGCAGTAGCTTTTTATCCCTTATTCAGTATTTGATCTTGTTTATGTATCAAGAGTGAGGAAAAACATTATTTAAGCTTGGTCTTTAAGGCCTGTATTACTGACCAGGTAATAAATCCCAATATTTCTTTTTTCCAGATGAGAAACCTTTTGTAGTGGAAGATACCTACTTACTCTGCCCAGCACCTGTGCTACGAGAAGTTGGCATGTATGTTTTTTCTATGTACTCAGATATTTACTTTGCCCGTGGGAAAATGAGTCTGCATCGTCTCACTATATTCTATTGTTCTTACATGCATCCAATTCTGACATTGGATGCATGTTGGGTGCATCTCTTGTGCTTGTTGGGTTAATTGGCAGTTGTACATTGGAGCGCAGGGGAGAGAGCACCAACAGGCTGAATCAACCTGTACAAAAGGCTTTTCTGTGCATCAGGAGCCCAGGTTCCAGAGGATATTATCTAGTAGAGGATTGTGGACTAGCTGGCCTGACTTGGTTCTTGTGGTTTTTTTTTTTTTCAGGGAAGCAGCTCTCCAAGTCAGTATGAACGATGGTCTGAGCTTCATCTCTAGCTCCGTCATCATCTCCAGCACACACTGTGTAAGTTTCGATTCATGTGCCTAAAATGATTTAGTAGGATGGTGGTACTTAACAACAGATCTTTGTTATGCTGGTATTAGGGCTTCCAAGTTGAGTAAGCCTGGTGTGTGAAGGACCTGTTTCCCTCTTTTAAAGGTGAGCTTATGAGTGTGGGAATATGACACTTTGTGTATCATGTGTGCCATAACATGGCAAAGCTCTTGAGTCTTCAGTAAACACCTCAGACTCGTATCTGCTGTGGGATGCAGACTAGAACAGGACTAGCAGCCAGTGGTCTGGAGGTGACTATGTCTGCTTGTCCACTGCACAGTGAACAAGCAGTAAGTCTGCTGGCTTTGTTAGCTAGTCTGTTTCCTCTGCGGCAATGGTGCTGCTCATTGTGAAAGGCATATGGCAGTTGTGATCACACCCTTTGTCTGGAAACCAGTATGGTTGGCAAAAACATGTGGGGGTTTCTCCACTGAAGTCGCTGGCTTATAGCTGACGTCCTTGCTTGCCAGTAGTGAATTGCTGCACTCAGTCTCTGGTGGAATCAGGCAAAGGGACGATGAAACTATGTATAATTCATGGTATTGCTGAAGATGCTGCTTCTGCTAAGTCATGGCTGTTGGGAACAGAGCATGAAATGACTTGTGCTAAAGGGAGATAGTGGAGGAATTTGCTTTGAGTTCAGAGCAGTCCTTCATGCTTCAGTGTATTCAGCTTCTGTACAGGGAATGGTTGAGGCGCTGCTTTACTTCTCCCATATACTGACTTAAAATTTTTTGGGGAAGCCAGAGTAGTCTCGCCAGAAAGACTTGAAAATCTGTCCACAGCCTGCTTTTCTCCCTATCCAGTAAAGGCACATCGTGTTTCCGTACAGAGTAAGTGAAAGGCAAAGTTGTATAACATCGGATTACCAGCAGTATTCTGTTGTCCACAAAGGCTGATGCACAAGATGAGAAAAGTCTTTTGTGTCACTTGATCTTGATACATGTTCAACAAGGACAAGATTGTATGGAGAAACAGTTTTCAGAGCTTACATGAGGGGTTATATTCCAAAATTTACAAAGACTTCCTTATGCCTTAAAAGAAGGGAATTTATTTTATTAGTTAATTTTTTGGTTCAAGTTCTCTTTGCTCACTGGCAAAAATGTATTTGCATGTTGTCAGCAAATTACAGGAATATTTTCCTGTGTTTTGTTCGTATGAGGCAAGACCTGGGAAAGAATTCTTAGAGAAAAATTATTCCTTCCTGATATGCTTTCTTCTGGGGATAGAATTATTATTTCTAGGTTATAGGAGATGAAATATCTGTTCCTTTTCTATTGTTTTAATAGCTGTAAGGAAACTTTTGAAAATGCCTATGCTTCACGGCAGTGCCTACTACTCTAATGCCTCCAGACTGCGAAACTGGATTTGCAGTGCAGCTAAGCAGCCAGAATTCAAATCCAGATCCTACATCCAAACCTAGACGCAGCGACATTCAGTGGCTGCTTTGAAAATTATATCGCAGGCTTCACTAATCGAGGAAGTTTCTCCTGTGTAAACAGGCATTTTTGTTTTTGTAGTAGTGTTTATTTTTTTCAAGTTCTTTTTAAAGATGGAACTGTTTACTGAGACTACAATCATCTCTTTAATTAAGGTTACAAGGGCTCCAGTCCTGGAAATACCTGTATATAAAATGTCTTGTTTAATTGACTTCAGACCTGAAAGTTAGGTCTGTTTGAAGATCTGGAGCCGAAGTGGGACAGTCAGAAAGCTGTGGAATGAAGTGATGGTAACAAGCAGGGAAAGACTAAGGTTTTCTTCCCTGTGTGCAAACTAGCAATCAGTGCTTTGCGTTTCCTCTCTGCGCTGTATTTCAGAAATGATCAGGTTTGGAAAGAGGTCTGGAGCGTCATCTTCAAAAAGCTTCCCAGATGGCAATCGGCAGTGACTTAACATGGCAGCCCCACAATCGCTTTGATGCAAAAATGCCTTGAACCCCAATCTCATTGCTCTCCAGAAATGGCTATTTAATGGGGGAAGGAACAAAGCAAGCGGCTTGACGGCCTGATAAGCTTTACCATTTCTTTATTTTCTTATGTAGCTCCACAACAAAACCTTCCTATGCAACATGTAAATAATCTGCAAATATCCTGTTTTCCCTATAAAAAAATGCCTGTCCTGGTCTATGAACTACCCATTTCAAGGACTATCTGGAGGTAATCCAGGGAAGAAAGTTCAATTAAGAGCATAGCTGAAGCAGACAGCTAAATTCCCAGCAAGTGAAGACCATAAATGAACAGTCAGAAAAGTCAGTCAGACTTTGACTCCTAAGTTATGAATGTAGGTTTGTGAGGATCAGGACAGATAGAGCCTAGACATTGAACTATCTAATAAGCTTTTTTTATCACCCTGGCTGGCAAAAATTTTAGTGTAGGTTTTCATGGTAAGGAAATTGGGCCAGTTCCTCCTAGGTTAATAGGGCAAAGCTGTTTTATACTAGCATAGGTCCCAACCTTTATTTAATATCTAAAGACTCCTAGGAACGAGGCAGCTAAGTAAATGTCAGTTTTATTGAGCAGTAAAAACTCTAGAAGAAAGAAAACACTTTTCATCTTAGACATATAGGTCACTTTTTGGAAAGAAACAAAATCAAAGCCTTTGCCTTTTCTAGAAGTGCATCACATCTTCACTGCTGTAACTCAGCAAGGCCCGACTCCTGCGATTGCCAGAAGCGAGGAGGGAAGAGCACTTACTACTCCTGTGCTCATACTGCGTTTTCTAACACTGAGTGCCAGCTGCTGAAAATGGGATATTGGGATTTTTTTGCCTTGCCCAGTGCTGTCATTTTTGTGAGGTTGCCAGTTAAAAGTTCTTTTCACAGACTATGCTGCCTTCATATTCAAATACTGAATGCGTGGCAGAAAGTGTACTGTGCGCTTGTCCCCTTTAGGAAACGTCACTGTTTTGTGTCTCTGAATGCAATAACGCACATACCTCTCTAGTATAAACTGACTCCCTCTGGGAACAGACAGAGCTTTTGCTTGAGCCCATATTGTCTAACTGAAGTAATTATTTGCACTTTTTTCCCTTGAGGTGTAAAATCTACAGCATTTCAAGGGGGAGAAAATGTAGAAAGGTTAGGAATGAAGGCATATGTAATGACTGACTTAATCTCCCTCTTAGTCTGAGACACACTTAAATACATCTTGCTTTCCAGCATTAAGTGATACTACTTGTCAAATCTGTCAACATCAAATTAGACCTTACTGTTTGAATACTGGTTGGGGTTTTGGTTTTTTTGTTTTGTTTAAAGAAGTCATACATACAGCTAAAACAGCCTTAGAGCTTCTACCTATGCTTTCAAATCTGGGCACTTTGGAATTGACTTGCCTGGACTGCAGGTGTCTGTTGTGCTTTGAGGGACTTCTCATTTTCCCTAGCTTTCTGCTTCCTGAAATGTGGCAGGCTTCAAGGTTTGCAGCCCAAAAAAAGTGCAAGGGGTGTCAGAAATTAAACTGCATGGGTTCTGTTGTATTCTGCCTTTTGCTTAATTGCTTGTGCTTTCCAATATCAGAGTACAGGCGTGACTGTATATGCTTTTATACCTCCTTTTCCGTGGGACTCAAGGAATTGCTGGTTTAGATTCCCAAATAAAATTGCCAGAACTGCTTAAATTTTGGGTTTTTTTTTTTAAAGTGAGTCTCCAGGCTTTCCCAGTACTTCACTGCAGTTCTCTCCTCTGTTAAAAGGTAACTGATTTTTCATTTAACAAAAGAAAACAGAATAAGGTGTGGGAGAGGCTTGTAAAGATGCTTTTGTTGCAGAGGATCTTTCAGCATTTCCACTTTAAAGTACATTTTGGGAAGACTTGCGGTCACATAAAAGTGATCTCAGCTGGATCAGGTGGAGCAAAATCTCCATTTAAAAAAGAATCAAAATTCTTCTCAGTTGGCCCAGTTATTTTCAAGCCTGAGGTATGAAACAGTCCATAGGAGGTCTTTGGGGATTTTATTTTGTTTTTCTTCCTCAGGATTTTCAATATGAGTTTTTAGAGGCAAAGGAGTTGATTACACATGGGAGGCCCTTTTAAATCCCGTGTGATAAGTATCAGTCTGGAATTTGCCCAGGCACATTAGCCAACAAATGAAACTCCAAATACAAGGTCTGTCTGATGCGTAGAGAAGTATCAGTCAGAACAAAGCTTGACTCCCCGATCTCATGCAGGGGTGGCTTTTAGTTAAAGGTGGAGTTGTCATTTTCTGGAGACGGTAAAAAGCATTGACTGTGGAATTGCATGGGACTGCTCAGTTTTCAGAGTACAGTCTTTACCTCAAAGAAGAGTGGAAGAAAGAAAAAGGATAGAACCAGGTTAGTAGAGGAGAATTTTTTTCTGTTTTGATGAATGCAACTCCCTCTCCCATCCCCATGTCAGTTCCTCGGGAATAGTGCTTTTGTTGTGGTTTGTTACCATCTTGGCTTTTCTGCTGGTTTTGGTGGCTCTAAAGTCTAATGGGAAACCTGGCTGGACAATGCCAGATGCTCTCAAGATGATAAAAGTATCAGAGCATATATCTGTCTGTCAGGAGTGGAAAATAAAGGCGTGCTGGAGAGAGACCAGAGTATTACACACACTGCTTTGAGATTATAAAGCAAGCCTACCCCAGTTAATCATGTCCCCACAGGTGGTTAGGAGCTGCAGCATACATTCTCACTGATTCCCAAGTGGTGCAGGGCAAGAGGAGGCATGTACTTCAGGGGGGAAGAAATTGGGAGGGCTGTGTCCTGCTCACCCTCGCAGGGTGCCTGCAGCAGCCCTGCGGACCTGGGCTCAGTAGGTGGGGGCCTGTATGTCAGTAAGGAGCTCTGTGGACAAAAAGGGGTTTTGCTTGTTGGAGGAATGTAGTGACTTTCATTTATCTGTCAAAAATGGGCCAGACACAGGAGCTGTTGTGGTTGGGCAAAGCATTTCTTTTATTAAATTATAGAATGCAGCTGAAACCCTCTAGCTTAGGGCAGAATGGTACTGCATG